ATATAATATAATATAATATAATATAATATAATATAACATAACATACCATAACATAACATAACATAACATAACATAACATAACATAACATAACATAATATAATATAACATAACATAATATAATATAATATAATATATGTTATATGTAGGAATAAGCACCACATGTTCCGTATCCTTTACTCCTCCTTTGTGCCTCTGTTTGCACCTCAGAGTAGTGAAGCACACAGGCAGGGTGGGCAGCCCTGGCACAGGTGCCCAGAGCAGCTGGGGCTGTCCCTGGATCCCTGGCAGTGCCAAGGCCAGGCTGGAATGTGGGACACTGGGAGGTACACTGGGAGTGGGCTCCTGCTGGGAAAGTGGAGATTTGAGTGGCTATTGGGCAGGAATTGTTCCTGGGAAGGGCTGGGCTGGAATTCCCAGAGCAGCTGTGGCACCCCTGGATCCCTGGCAGCGCCCAAGGCCAGGCTGGCACAGAGGGAGATGTCCCTGCCATGGCAGCGGTGGCACTGATGGGTTTTTAGGTCCCTTCCCACCCAGAGCAGGCTGGGATTTTGGGATCTGGTGCAGCAGGGCTGTGGTGAGCTCTCAGCATCCCCTGCTCCTTGCAGCTGGCTGGATGCAGAGCTGTACCTTAAGAACAATGCATTCCTCCATTAATGTTCCTTGTGGGAGACATAATCAGCTTCATTAGGAGTCATTATTATGGGAAAACCCTGGAAAAAACACCACGTACAGGGAGGCAGCGTGATCCATTAAAAAGGCAGAATATGGGACTAATATTGACAGATGTTTACAGGAACTGCTGTGGGAGGTCCAGCAGCTCCCACAGGCACAGCCCACCCTGTGCCCACAGCCCACCCTGTGCCCACGGCATTTCTGGGGGCAGCCAGAGCCCACAGAGCTCAGGGCCAGGAGGGCACTGGTGTGCCCTGCAAGGGAGGGTGGCACAAATGCAGGTGCCAGCAGCAGCTGGTCACAGTCTGCAGAGGTGTCTCACCACGTTAAAGATGTCCCACCTCAGGAGATGCCATGTCCCCACCCCTGCACCCTCACTGCCACCCCTCCAGCCACAGAGCTCCCTCAGCAAACCGGGCAGAAAAAAAGAAAAAAATTAACTGTTGCAGTCCAAAGTGAAACATTTCAAAGTGGTAATAGTGATTTTGTGGTGAGCTCATTTGGGTGATTCAGAGCCTCAAACAACCAACAGTGCCCTTCGCTGTCCTGGCAGCCCAGGTTTGTTCTGGCACAGCACAGGGTGGGCAGACTGGGGTGTTTGCACCTTCCAAAGTCACACATCTCTGCCAGGAGAGATGCCTGGGAGAGCTGGGGGAGCCCCTGGCACGGTGGTCCTTGCCCGGTGCAGGGACAGGCACAGCCCTGGCTGATGCCAATGGCCCCTGGCTGATGCCAGAGCCCCTGGCTGATGCCAGAGCCCCTGGCAGGCTGCAGGATGCCCTGGGCTCGGTGCCTTTGTGGCAGGGAGCAGTTTTTTGCTGCTCCAGGTCAGACACAGCCCAAGCTGCACCAGCCCCCCCCCCTTTACCGAGGCTGAGCATCCTCACCCGCAAGGCCCAGGAAATTACAGCCTCTGCTTGGTGAGATGATATTTTTAAGCCTTTACAAACAAGGGCTTGATCTTGCTAAGCAGTTTGGATCCTCTGTGCCACACACACTGACAGCAGCAGCTGCCTGGGCTTGGGGGCCGTGTCTGGCACAGCAGAGCTGGGCTGGGCAGGAGTTCAGGCTGTGGTAGCCACTAAAAGCTTCTCCCAAGGCATCCCTGGGCTGGGAGCTGAGAGCTGGAATTCAGCAGGACTCATACATCAGCGCTGGGCAGTCGATAGCATCGATTTTGGTGGGACCAGGGCTTTGCTGCCTTGCAGGGTTGTTCCAGGAAGAGCTGGGAGCGGGGAGAGCTCCAGGAAGGCCGGAGCCAGCAGCTCCCAGGGAAGGCTCTCCCGTGGGGAGCCACTGGTGCCAGAGACACGGGGAGCAGGGAGAAACTCTGCTCCTTTGGCAGCATAACCCCATCATTAACCCCACAGGAATCCTCCCTGCAATCCCTCGGAGAAAAGGCACGGGGACCACAGAGATCACCCCAGTGCCCAGGGCAACACCACAGCTGGAGGAAAGGCCTTGCACTGGGAGCAGCTGATTTATGCTTTAAAAGAGGGAAAAGAACAGTGATACGGAACTTGAGAAGGAAGCAGAGTGTAAGGAAAGCACATTTTTATACTATTTTCTTATAAAAATCATGTGGCAGCAGGACCAGGGCAGGGATTGTACTTGGCACTGGTGAGGCCACACCTTAAATGCTGCATCCAGTTCTGGCCCCTCAGGACAAGAAGGACATGGAGGGGTTGGAGTGTGTCCAGGGCAGGGAATGGAGCTGGGAAAGGGCTGGGAACTCCTGAGGGGGCTGGGAAGGGGCTGGAGAACTCCTGAGGGGGCTGAGGGGGCTCAGCCTGGAGAAAAGGGGGATCAGGGGGTACCGTTTGGCTCTGCACAGCTCCAGGAACATCTGTGGGAATCCAGGGCTTCCCTCTGGCTGCCCTGGCTGCCCTGGGACCCTGGCAGGGGTCAGGAACCCCCCTGGACAGAGCCCCCAGAGACACTGTCTGTGATCTCTGTCCATGGAAAAGAGTTTTCAATCTTACAGGATGAATTACCAGCTCTGAGTGTTTGATATGAGTAATAATTAAGTGTGACATGGGTGCAAAAGTAAAATTTTAGGATTCTAGATGAGGGGTCCAAAGGGGACAAGATGGAGGAAATTGGGTGTGCCTTGTCCTTTTTCTCCTTCTTCATGCCCTCCATGTTTCACTGTGGTGTTGGCATTTTTCTGTTGGTTCAGGCTGGGGACACACTGTCCAACGTAGGTGACAGATATTGGCACGTTATTGTAAATCCAGCACAGGTAGTTTGTGGTATTTAATGTTTGTACCATCCCACTGAGGGCAGAGCCCCACACGCTGCCCTGCAGGACAGAGCTGCGGCAGGGCAGCAGAACATGTTAGAGATAAACAGAATAAACAACCTTGAAACAGCACAGACCAATTATGGCTTCTGCTTTGGCAGCGGGGCTGACAGACAGAGATTTTATACAATCTCGGAATCACCAATACCCACAGATTCCGACAGACATCAGCATTTCTTCTCTCTGGCTTCCCCTGCATTTCCAGCAGGCTCCCATGGCAGGCTGCAGGGCCGTGTGTCCCTCCCTGTGTCCCTGTCCCCCTGCCTTGGCTCGGGACAGGCTCAGGCTGGAAAATAAAACATCCCGGGGAGCAGCTGGTCCCTGTGCTGGCAGGGGACAGTCGGAGCTGGCCCTGCCCAGCCGGGCTGGGAGCAGCACCGGGGCTCGGTGAACAGCCCCAGAATGGATTGGGTGGGAAAGGACCTAAAGATCATCCTCAAATACCCCCTGCCACAGCAGGGATACCTCCCACTGTCCCAGCTGCTCCAGCCCCAGTGTCCAGCCTGGCCTTGGGCACTGCCAGGGATCCAGGGGTGCCACAGCTGCTCTGGGCACCTGTGCCAGGGCTGCCCACCCTGCCAGGGAAGGATTTCCTCCTTACACCTGCTCTAAATCCCCCCTCTGGCAGTGTAAGAAGTTTAACACTCTCTCGGAGGGCTCGCAGAGCTGAGAGCTTTCAGGGCAGAGCCGGTAGATGGCAGGGCTGCAAAGCCTGATAACATCGCTGGTAGCATCCCATCCCCGATAACATCCCTGATAACATCGCTGAAACCATCACATCACTGACAGCATCCCATCCCCGGTAACATCGCTGATAACATCCCATCCCCGATATCATCCCTGATAACATCGCTGATACCGTCACATCACTGATAGCATCCCAACCCCGGTAACATCCCATCCCAGATAACGTCACATCCCTGATAACATCACTCATAACATCCCCAATATCATCGCTGATAACATCCCTGATAACATCGCTGATAACGTCGCTGATAACCTCACATCGCTGATAGCATCCCAGCCCAAATAACATCGCTGATAACATCCCACCCCGATAACATCCCTGATAACACCCCTGATCCCATCCCTGATAACACCCCTGATCGTGTCCCACCCTGATAACATCGCTGATAACACCCCTGATCACGTTCCACCCTGATAACATCCCCAATAACACCCCTGATCACATCCCACCCCGATAACATCCCTGATAACATCCCTGATCCCATCCCATCCCTGATAGCACCCCTGATAGCATCCCTGATCCCATCCCATATCCCATCCCATCCCTGATAACACCCCTGATCACATCCCATCCCTGATAACACCCCTGATCCCATCCCTGATAACACCCCTGATCGTGTCCCACCCTGATAACATCGCTGATAACACCCCTGATCACATCCCACCCCGATAACGTCCCTGATAACATCCCTGATCCCATCCCACCCCGATAACATCCCTGATAACACCCCTGATCACATCCCACCCCGATAACATCCCTGATAACATCCCTGATCACATCCCATCCCTGATAACACCCCTTATCCCATCCCAACCCTGATCCCATCCTATCCCTGATCCCATCCCACCCCGATAACATCCCCAATAACACCCCTGATCCCATCCCACCCTGATAACATCCCCAATAACACCCTTGATCCCATCCCATATCCCATCCCATCCCCAGTAACACCCCTGATCCCATCCCACCCCAATAACACCCCTGATCCCATCCCACCCCGATAACACCCCCGGCGACCTGGCAGAGCCTGCAAACACCGATGTTTCACCCTTTAGCTGCCCTAACTTTAATGCTTCACCCTCTAACTGCCCTATCGGGATCTGGGACATCTGCAGGAGATTTTGACCCTCAGCCTCACAGCTGGAGGCTCACACTCAGCACCCCAAACCACCCTCATCAGGCAGATTTCAGCCTAAGCTGATTTTCAAAAGCAGATCAAGGGGAGCTTCTGAAAGTGCAGGTAATTTCTGTGCAGTGATATCCAGCTCGTTTCAGGCATCGGACAATTATAAGAAGTTGCCATCAGCACGTATTTGAAATGGTGAAAAAGCCTCTGCCAGTGCCTGCTTCCAATCCCACAGAAAAGGAATATCCTCTTCCTTACCTCCAGCACCTTTTCAGCAACATAAACCCAGAATTTCCCCCCACACTGGTCGTGCACCTTTTTCACGGCGTGGCTCCCACATTAATGCCCACAATTCCATTTTTAAACACTGCAGGAATTTTAAATCTCACCTTAGAGGAGGAATAACCAGGGCTGCTCCCTCCAGGCTGATGCTCCTGACCCCACAGCAGCGGTGGCCGAGGACACAGGAGAGCTCCAGGATTTCAGGACGTGGCTTCTCCCCACCAGCAGCTCTAATAATTGCACTTTTATATTTACCCAACTTTAGGAACTTCAGGAGAACCTTATCTTGAATTTGAAGGCATTTCTAATGCTACTTTAAGCCAATACAGTTGATTTCTGTATCAACTCGTTTCATCTCAGCACGGTGATGTATTTTGCTCTGCAGTTGCAATTCCTGAGTGAATTGAGCTCCTTTTCCTCTCTTTCCCACAGGATCTGCAGCAGGGTTTGCTCAGAGCTCAGCCAGGGCTGGGGTGCCCCAGCTGCTGTCAGAGTTGTGGGGTCTCTGCACGCCTGGGCCCTGCCAGAAGACACCCACAAAGGGCACTTTTGGGTTTCTTACAAAGCCCAGAAAAAACTTTTCTTGACTTTGGTCTCATCACCTTGGAATTACAGCCCTAAGTGCTCATCCCTGAGGGGTTCCAGCTGTAAATGCAGATCCCACTCTGGATTTGTGGGCAGGGCTGGGACAGAGCCACGGGATGCTCTCCCCACAGCTCTGCTCCAGGCACAGCATCCCACAAAGCAGCCCTGGCAAGGAATTCCTCCCTTTTTCTTCTTTAAAGCGTTTAAGAGGAAAAAAGTAGCAGCAATTTGCTTCCCAATTTCCCTGCTTCCCTTACTTTTTTATGCATTAATTCACATTGAACCTCTGGATTTTGGCAATTTTTAAGTACACAGGGAAGTTTTACCCTGTTTTGGGAGAGCTTGCTGTGCCAGACAGATCCAGGCACCTCAAAACCCTCCCTGGGCTTTCCAGCAGTCCGCATCAGCCTTAAAAAGAATAATTTAGAGAATTTAGCTAAAATGTAGCACATTATTGTTCACACACGGGCTGCTTTCTTCAGAGCCAGCCATGGGAGCACACACGAGGTCTCACTATTCAAGTTAAATCCAAATTAAAGAGACTTTTCATGCTCTCAGACACTCACATCAAGCTTCCCACATCACCTGGGGCATGAACCTGCAGGTGCTCCCAAAAAAGGGGCTCCCCCACCTCTGAGCACCCAGAGAAGAGACCAAACCCCTCCCAGACCCTCCTTGCAGGGAGTCTCAGAGGGCCAGAAGGTCCCTTCTGCTCCCCTTGCTGGGTCCCAGGTGGGTTTTGGGTTCCTGGGCTGGGGGTCCTGGGTCCCACCTTGTGCTCAGGACACTCAGGGGGCACATCCAGAGCCCTCTTAAATGACCAAATACAGAAATTTCAACTTTTGATTGAAGCATTGCTCCTTCTAAGCTGGGATCTCCTCTGTCCAAGCACTCCACAGCTCCTCTGGTTTGTGTCAGGATCCAAAATCCACGAGGAATTCCCTGAGCAGCAAATCCCACTGGCCAGGGCAGCCAGAGCACGAGGTCCAGCACCAAACAGTGAAGAGCTGCTGTAGAAAATATGGAGAAAATTGCATCAGTAGGAAGAATTAATCGCTGGGAAAAACTTACCCAGGGTTGTTGTGTATTCTCACCTTTTTAAAAATCAATATTCTAAGCTGTGTCCACACCCAGGGAGGGTTTGGTGAAGCCCTTGGGCTGTTTTATTCCAGGGATTGGGTTTGGTGGGCTCAGCGTTTTTGACTGAAGCAATCCCAAACCTGTGGAAACAGCAGCTCCCAGGACCAAAGGGTTAGAAGGAAGTGTGTAACAAGTGATTATCTGGCACTAAAGAGGAAATCAGGTGCTCCTTGTGCTGCTGGAGGTGAGGAGCAGGGTAATGGGCCAGGGGAGAGGTGGTTAATGCTGGAATGTTCCCCGTGAGCCACTGCCAGAGCCATTCTGGAATATTGCACACCATTCTGGCATATCCATACAGGAAAATGGCTGGGAAAGCCATAATGCTTGTGGCAATGGGGCAGGAGGGAGCTCAGGATCAGTGCCTGGCAGTGCTGAGTGCCCAGGGAGCTCAGGATCTCTCTCTGGGAATGCTGAGTGCCCAGGGAGCTCAGGATCAGTGCCTGGGAATGCTGAGTGCCCAGGGAGCTCAGGATCTCTCTCTGGGAGTGCTGAGTGCCCAGGGAGCTCAGGATCAGTGCCTGGGAATGCTGAGTGCCCAGGGAGCTCAGGATCTCTCCCTGGGAATGCTGAGTGCCCAGGGAGCTCAGGATCAGTGCCTGGCAGTGCTGAGTGTCCAGGGAGCTCAGGATCTCTCTGAGGGAATGCTGAGTGCCCAGGGAGGGGGCTGTGTGCAGGGGATGGAACCTGACCCCCTGAGAGGTGGGATCAGAAAGGAGCTGCAGTGCCTCAGTCCGGAGCTCTCAGCTTCCAGGGAGTCTGGGACATCACCCCTGGCCTTGCTGGATATTTGGGGTAGTTTTAAATACCACCTTTGAGGGATAAATCCCAGAATCCTCAGGCTGGAAAACAGGACCACGGAGTCCCAGCTGGGCCCCATCCCCACCCCATCCCCAGCTCTGAGTGCCACCTCCAGGTGACACCTCCAGGGATGGGATCCAACCCTCCCTGAGCAGTTCCAATCCCTGAGCCCCTTTCCATGGGGAAATTCCTGCTGTGCCCACCCTGAGCCTGCCCTGCCCAGCCTGAGGCTGTTCCCTCTGCTCCTGTCCCTGTTCCTGGAGCAGAGCCCGACCCCCCGGCTGTCCCCTCCTGGCAGGAGCTGTGCAGAGCCACAAGGTCCCCCTGATTCCTCTTTGCTCCAGGATGCCAAGGGACAAATAAAGAGCACCTTGAAAACCATATTTTTTGTCCCTTTGAGTATTGTGTCAAAAAGTATTAAGTTTAAACCCACAGATGACTTGAGGAACATCTGCTGGAGCCTTGGGAAGGACCAACCCCCCTGCCTGGGTCACCTGGAGCTGGGCTGGGCAGAGCCCTGGTGGAGCAGCCTGGCACTGCCAAAGCTCTCAAAGTCAGAAAATTGGATTTTTTTTCTCCTCTTCTATATCTATTCTTTTTCTAAATGGAATTTATTAATGAAACTAAAACCCAGCACAGCTGAGGGAGCACCAGGACCCCAGGCTGGGAGAGGAATCTCCCCTCCACAGTGATGGCAGCTGTAAAAGCTGACAGCTTTATACCCACTTTTTAAAGACAGGACAGAAGAATTCCTTGGCCACTCCAATCAATTTTTGCATTTTTTTTGTGCATGAAGAGTTCTGGATAAATTGCATCGAGGTGTTTAAAACTGCTGAATAGCTCCAGGTGAATTTTACAGGTGTCAGCTGCTGTCTATAAACTGTCCAAGAGTCCTATAAAAAGCTGGGAAACAAGAGCAAAATTAGCAGATAAATCTATCACTTCAGAAGTAAATAAAGAAGTGAGGTGTATTTGCAGTGTTACTTTTCAGCAGGTCACTGGCATGGAGCGCTGCAGGTCACAAACACCTTTTGGCACTGCTAATAATTAGGATGCACTAATGAATTAATGGAAATATCCTCCAAATTCTTGCATTCTTGGGTTTGTGATGTCAGCCTGGCCAGCTTCACTTCTGTGCTGATGCACTGAGCAGAAGGATTTCTTTTCTTAGTTTATTTCATGTTTAAATTTCACGGCTATTACACTACAATAAAAGCAATAAATAATAAATAAGCTCTTACCAACATCACCCATAATTTCTGGAAGTCCGACAGATAAAAATATGATCCTTATAAAAACTGAGCACCTGATTGTGAACCAAATTCAAGCAGCAAAACGCAGAATTTGCTTGCTAGAAACACAACAGAAAAACAGATTGTGGGTATAATTCCACCCAAAAGAAAGCAGACAAATAAAATCCATTATTTAGTGAGTTCAAACCATACCTGGGCAGGTCTCTGGTGTGCTGACACCTGGGATCACTCGGTTTAGCTCAAAAGAAACCGAGGCCTGCATCAGTTTTTATCTGGTTTCCCTCTTTCTGTGCTATTTGTGTTCAGCCAAAGTTCATTTCTTGATGAAGATGCTCAGACAGGACCCCCAGCCCTGTCCAGAATTGATGGATAATGCTGAAGAGCCTGAAAGGAGATGGGGGATCCCCTGGCTTTGGGGTGGGGGATCCCCTGGCTGTGCATCCCCTTTGATTTGGGGTGGGGGATCCCCTGGCTGTGCATGCCCTTTGATTTGGGATTCTGGGATCCCCTCTGATTTGGGGTGGGGGATCCCCTGGCTGTGCATCCCCTTTGATTTGGGATGGGGGATCCCCTGACTGTGCATCCCTTTGATTTGGGGTGGGGGATCCCCTGGCTGTGCATCCTCTCTGCTCTGGGATGGGGGATCCCCTGGCTGTGCATCCCTTTGATTTGGGATTCTGGGATCCCCTGGCTGTCCATCCCCTCTGCTTTGGGATTCTGGGATCCCCTGGCTGTGCATCCCCTCTGCTTTGGGGTGGGGGATTCCAGTTCCCAAGCCAATCCAGCCCGTGATTCCATGATTGATTGTAGGAAGTAAACTTCCCAAAACCCTTCTCTGTTCTCTGCTTCCCGTTCTCATGCCCAGAGCTCACAATCAATTCTCCCTCCTGGGCACATCCCTGTGTCCTGTTGGATATTGAGGCACCGCTGGCTGCAAGCCAGCATTTCATATAATATTTAACATTTCATTTCCTATTTCATTCCTCAGGAATATTCACAATATTTTACCCGGTAACTTCTTTTATCCATACTTCACGTGCGGCTTAATAGGAGCTGAGTTACTGAACCCAGTTACAGGCTTGGAAAAAAACGGTTTATATTTATTATTCTCATCCTTTGCCAGGACAGGGACACGGGAAGTGCCGTAATTGAAGCAGATAACTCCAACTTTCACTCCCAGCGAGCGCATTGTCATGCACCTACATCTTGATTAGATCATTTGCCTCGTGAAAAGGACGCGTTTTTGTGCCGTGGTGTCTCAGCTAATTTCCAGCCGAGTCTGCCGGCGGAGTTCTCCGCTAGCAACACTTCAATTCGATATTTTCTGGCTGCTGTTTATTTTCCGGAGCGCTCCTTTAGCCTCGCTCACTCCGCCTGTCTCCATCGGCCCGGGGCGACATCCCTGGCACCGCTGGCACCGCTGGCACCGCCCGGGGGAGCATCCCTGGCACCGCTGGCACCGCTGGCACCGCTGGCACCAGCCGGGATTTTGGCTGCCCGCTGGGAGCTGCTGCCACATTCTCTCTCTTGAACTCGCGGTCGCACAAGCCGTGAAAAATCCGGGATGTTTGGAAATGTTTGGAAAGCGGATCGCTGACAGAAGGAGAGGGGCACAATCCATCCCCAAGCCTTGCAGCTCTTCCGAGGGGTGCGCCAAAAGCTGAGGGGTGAAGGTTTTGGGGAGAGCATCCCCCGCAGCGCCGGGAACATCAGGCGGCTCTGGAGGAATCTGTTTGATAAACACTTTGTGAACAGCGGTTTGTCCCCAAAAGAGCCCAGCTCAGCCTCCGTGCGAAGGGGAGTAGCTGGGAATGAAGGCGAGTCCCGCTGGTTTCCAGCAGCAAACTGGGGATCTCCTGGGGGGTGTCGGGCTGGGGGGATCCGCAGCTCTCGGGCCTGGAGCACCGGTTCCCCCCGGCTCTGCCTCTGGGCTGCGTCCCTGCTGACCCCACGGAGCCCACGGAGACGTTTTCTCCTTTCCACTCATGAGCACTTTTTAAAATACGTGTATTTCCCACCTTTTCCAGGCATTCCTACAAACGGCCCGGCCCGTGCGCTCAGGGTATGGCAAAATAATTAAAGTCCAAATTTAGTTATCCACGGGACCTTCTAGGACCGCTTTGGCTGATTCCTGCTGGGCCACCCTCCCAGTCCCAGGCCAGCCGTGGAACCCCTTCCCCAAGCCCTGAGCTGCTCCATCCCTGTGCCGGGGATGCCCCGGGACGCTGAGGAGGAAGAGGAGGAGGAGCAGAGCTGTGCCGTCTTTTCCAGGGCTAACCCAAACTTTCCCCACCTGCAGCACATCTGGGCAGCTGTTTCCCAGGGGTTTAAGGAGCAGCTGAACTTGTCCGGCAGAAATAACCCCGTGAGGCAGCTCTGAGCAGAGGCAGCTCTGGGGGGGCACTGCCCACCCCAGACTCGGCTCGGACCCCCCCAAACACCACAGCCAGGCTCCTGCCCTGCTGCCCGCTGCCTTCCTCCTCTCCCGACTGCCCAAACCCTTCATTGGACAAATTAAACCCAAAGCAGCGAGGAGCTGCCGTCAGAACCAACCTGGGGGTGAATGTTCCCTGAATTTATAGCCTAACACCGATAGGTTTATTTTTTACAAATGTAGCTCCAGTCCTAAACCCGGACTTCACTTCCCTGCAGGAATCTGCTTGACTTGGAAACCGCTACTATTTTTTTTTATTTTTTTTTTTTCTAAATACCTTCACATCTTGTAGCTGCACATCCCTCACAGAGCTGCTGGAGCTCTAGGAAGCATCCGTGGTAGCGGGCTGAAGATCTCAGCAGTTATCCCTCCTCGAGGATTAACCAATGCTGCGGGAGTTCCCGGGCTAAAGCGGGAGAGGGAGGGGAAAGAAGAGCACAAATAAACAAAATAAAACCCCTCGCAGCCAGTGGCGTTCTTTGCGCAGGGCCGCCCGCGGGCCGGGAAGTTCTGGGGGCCGCCGGTACCGCCCAGCACGGCCCGGGAGGCGGGCGCGGGGCAAGGAACGGAACCGGCGAGCTGAGAGCGGAGCCAGCAGCGGTGAGTTCCCCCGCGGGACAAACTGTTGCTCCGCGGGGCCGGCCGGTCGTTCCGCGGGGTAACCCCCGCGGGATGCGGGATGCGCCGAGTCCCGGGATGGAGCGGGCGCGGTGCGGGACGGGCTGAGGACGAACCCCCCACCCCTCCTTGTGCTCCCCCCGGGTCTCGCCGCCGATTCCGCCCCCGCGGGCGCCCCGCGCGTCCCGCCCGCCCCCGCGCAGCGGAGAACGCGGGGGGGGCGCTTGCGCACTGCTGCGCCCCGCGCACCGGCGGGCTGCGCTGGGCCAGAAGTGTATTAAAGCGCGGAGATCTCCGCACACTCCGCCGCCTCCCCCTCCGCCCTGCGCGCTGCCCTCCGCAAGGTAAGCGGCCGCCCACGCGTGGGGATGCGGGAAGATGCGCGGGTGGGGGCGCGGAGCTCCCGCTTACCTGGCACGGGCCGGGTGCGGGCTTTGCGCGCCCCGGCTGCTCGCAGCACCCCGGGAGGAGGCGCGGAAGGCTCTCCGGGGTTTTTTTCCCCCCCTCCCAAGTGCAGGAGGGGAGAGCCGAGCGCTCCCGGAGCCGCCGCGCCGAGGTGGCCGGGCTAAAAGGCAGAAAGCAATTAAAACTCCTCCTTTCGGATTAACAACCAAAAATTGATCGATCTGTCAGGAATACTGTTGATTTATGAAAGGTGCTTATTTCCTTGGTATGGAGAATTTTATGTTCTCTAGGTGAAACTGAGTTCACCCAGCTCCAGAGTAGATTGATGTTTTAATAAAAATAAATAAAGGGAAAAAGCTCGCCCGGTCTTTGGGGACATCAACTCTCAAATCGGGGAGTTAGACTAACAAATCAAATCGCATTATCTTTACATTTCACATCTTTTAACCTAAAAAAAAAAAATTTAAAAGAATTAATTAAGTTTAAAAATCGCGGGCAGCGCCGCAATCTTTATCACCTCAAAGTTTTAACGCGAGGTTAGAAAAAAAATATTTTAAAGTTGAAATAACAAACAATCGATGGTTTGATTGCGGCGGGGGGAGCGGGAGGCGGCGGGGCCGGGGGCGCGGAGCGCGGCCGCCCGCGCAGTGTCCTGTAGATGGCACACGGTCCCCACGTACGGAGCGGCGGCGGCGGCGAGAGGGGCTCTGCCGAGGGAAACGGCCATCCCAGCACTTGTTGTTTACCCAGACCGGGGCGCCGGGAAATTCATCGCGAATTCATTGGAAATTGCAGCCGGAGGGGCGCGGGGAGCGCCGCGGGCTCTCTCCGGCCGCCCGCGGCCGCGGGACTTGCGCGCACCGGGGATGCGGGAGCGCGGCTGCGGGGCGATGTCGGGGGAGCGCGGAGCGGCCCCGGGCCGGGCGGGGCGCCCCGACACGTTTGTCTTTGCGATGTAAATCGCGGCGGGACAAATTGCTTATTAACAGTCGGGAAGAAGCGGCGGTTTCCTTCTTTCTTCTTTTCTTTCGCTGTTTTCATGCCGGCATGGCCCCCAGCTACGCTCGGGGCAGCCTCACCGCCCAGCGCTTTTCCCTTCCTTTCAATATCCTCAAGAAAATGCAAATCGCCACGCTGCGGCCTTTTTAAAAAGTTAAATTAGCAACAGCTTTAAGTGACTCCATTAGCATGGAAAACATACAAATGTTTAATGTGGGAATAGCCCGGCTTTTGGAGCTCTGGCGCCGAGCCCGGCTCGGGGTCCCCCCGGTGCAGCACCCCGGGACCGCCGGGCAGGCACCGCGCGGCTCCGCAGCTTTCATTATTTACAGGGGCGCCTCGGCTCGCTGGGACATTGCGGGGCAGTTCGGGGGCGAGGGGACAGCACCTTCCCCCGCTCCGTGCGCCCCTCGGTGCCGCCGCCCGGAGCCCGGGGCCGGTGCCGCTCCCGGGGCTCTCCCGCAGCTCCGCCGTGCGGGAGCGGCTGCGCTCGCCCGGCCGGCCCGGGGCTCCGCCGCCGCTGCCTCGGGGACCAAAGTGCCCGTGACAGCGGCAAGTTTGGCTCCCCGGCAAGAGCGGCCCGTACCGAGGGGCTCCGCCGGTTCCCCGCGGCCGCTCCGTGCGGGAGCCCCGCACCGCACCGCACCGCACCGCGGGTGTTTCCCGTGCGCTGGCGGAGGATGTTCCCGGAGCCCTGCAGGGCAGAGCGAGCCCTGACCACGAAAGGGTTAAGGTTTCTATTATTCAGTCGAGGTCTTGTTAGGATGTAATCTGCATTTTCTAACTACTGCGTAATAAAAAGTGAGAAGTTTTGAGACACCTTTCTTGATTATACCTTTGGCGATACTTTAGGTTTTACATTTAATTTGCATTTTGTTCTTAGTGAATATTGAAGTCTTGAGTGGAGGATTGAATTTTATTAGGACATCTGGACTGACAATATCAAATCAGACACCAACGTCCCAAAGCATGCTAAAATTTCAGAGTTAATTAGAACGAAGTGTGTTTAATTAAAGCCAATTATAATATCTGAAATTATCTGATCGATCCTTGTTTGTTCAGTTGGAGCCAGTTGATATTGTTCCCGCCGCACGACGGGACCTGTCCGGCCGCCAGCTCCCCGCGGCCCCGGCTGCTCCGCCCGTGCGGCTCCGGGCCGCCCCCAGCCCCTGCCCGGGGTCCCGGGGGGCAGAGCCGCGGCGGCCCCGCAGCGCTCCCGCATCCCGCGGGCACCGGGAGGGCAGCGCCCGCCGGGAGCCGGGCAGCGCCCGCGGGGACTTTTTCCCGAGGAAAAGCTCCCGTTGGGCGCACGGCTAGCGAGGCAGGCGCTCGGGCACGGCGGGAGTTATAGAGTTTAAGCCTTTTTCCCTTTTATTTTTTTCCTTTTTTTTTTTTTTTTTATAAATAACTAATTTTGATGTAACAATATCGGGGCGCAGGGCCGCGGGAGCGCGGCGGGGGGAGCGCAGGGCCGAGAGCCAGTTTGGGTAAAGCAGCTCTGCACCCACAGGGAGATCCGTGACCCCGAGATGGACTCGCCGTGAGCCGCGCAGGGGCGCGGGAGGTGCGCGGGCGGTCGGCCGAGGGGATCCGGGGCCAGCAGGCGCGGCCAGGGACAGGGACAAGGACAGGGAGAGGGACAGGGACAATCAGGGACAGGGACAACCTCCCCGCGCCCTGCCCCGAGCCCCCGGGGCCGATGCCCGCCCTGCGGTGCCTCCGCGGGGCGCGGAGCCGCTCGGCCCCCCGACCATCCCCGGAGCGCCCCGCTGGCCCCGTGCGCTCCGCAGCGGGCCCGGGATGCTCAGGAATGCGGCTCCGAGCTCAGAAATGAGGCGGGCGCGGGTGAATCCGCCCCGAAAGGCAGCGGCCGGGCGGTACGGGGGTCCCGGCGCTTCCCGCACCCCCGGCCCGTGGGCGCTGGGGGTCTGCGCTGGCGGCGGGGCCGAGGAGCCCCAAAGCAGCGGCGGAACCGCTCGGTCCCGGCCCCGCTCCGCTGCTGGGCCCCGTTCGGCCTCTGCCCCGGGCCAAGGATGCGCGAAATCCCCGCCAAGGGCCGGGCTGGGCCCCCGCGGCGCTGCGCCCCCGCGTTAGGCAGCGCCCGCCCGGGAATGAACGCCCTGAAGGCGTCCGAAAACACACCAAAATACCGATTCACCCCAAAACACCGATTTCTCCCTCCTGCGGCAGTTTGTAGAGATTTGCCTCGGTTACACCGGGTATAAATTACACTCGGTGTAACCAGCGCGTTGGTAATGAAGGCGCCTTCCGACAGTAAAATTGAAATATGGACCGTGGCGAGCTGCGGGGACACGGCCGAGCCCCCCGAGAGCGGGGCCGGGGCCGCCCTCCCACCGCAACTTCCCGCTGGGAAAGTTTGTGCGGTGGGAGCGCGGAGCTGGGCAGCTCGGGGCCGGCCCAGGGCCGAGGAAATAGCGAAATTACCAAAATCACTCTCTCCAACTTGCGTGATTTAAACCGTGAAATGAGAAATAAATAAGAAATAATAATAGGAAAAAAAAATGAAATTATGGAGATAATAGTCCCGAGGGGATTGTCCCGAGGGGGAAAAGATAAAATAATAAACTTTGGGGGAATGCTCTGAGGGCGGTGGGAATCAGGGGATGGGCTCGAAGCCCCGCAGGGTGCGGGGTTCGGGGTCCGGCCGCCGTGCGGGGCAGGAGGGGGGCCCGGCCGGGCGGTGCGGGAGCGGAGCGGGGCCGGGCCGGGGGACAGCTGGGCTGCGGCCATCTGAGCGGCTCCGCCGTGACATCTGGGAGCCCGCTGGTGTGTGGCACGCGCATCGCTTGATGTCGCTATTTAAATGCAAATTTGCGGGGGGATCACTGAAGCCTCACCCCGTAAATTCACACAAAAGGGAGACTTGGCGCCGGAGGAGGAGGAGGAGGAGGAGGAGGAGGAGGAGGAGGAGGAGGTGGAAAAAAGGAGGAGGAGGAGGGCCGCGGAGCCGGGAGGGCTCGGGCCGCCCCCCGCAGCCGCGCACACCCCCTGCCCGCCCGGCTCCGGCCGCGCTCCGCGCAAGGTGCGCCCGGAGCGGAGCTGCGCTCCCGCGGCCCGGAGCGGGCCCGGGGCTGCGGAGGGGACCCGGGGCTGGGGAAGGGGACCCGGGGCTGGGGAAGGGGACCCGGGGCTGGGAAAGGGGACCCGGGGCTGGGGAAAGGGACCCGGGGCTGGGGAAGGGGACCCGGGGCTGGGAAAGGGGACCCGGGGCTGGGGAAAGGGACCCGGGGCTGGGGAATGGGACCCGGGGCTGGGGAAGGGGACCCGGGGCTGCGAAGGGGACCCGGGGCTGGGGAGCAGCGAGAAGCCGGAGGGATGCCGGCCTGGAGCGGTGCGGGGCGGTGCGGGCAGCAGCAGCAGCTCCCGGCAGCTCCAGCTAGCCAGAGTGACAACAACAACAACAACAACAAAAAAAAAAGATAAAGTTGGTGAATGATAAAGACCGTATTTTCCACGCTTTGGGTGCAGGACCAGATGATCTAGAAAATGAGCTGAAATAGATTCAGGCTCAGAGCCTGTTGTGAGGAGCAGCTGATTCCCCCATTCCTGGCCAGATGGCTTCTGAACACAGATTTGCATTCATTTTCGCTTAATATCGTCCAAAATAGTGGGGCAGCTGCATTTGTTGTCAAAAAGGTTTAAAACTCCCTTTCTTTCTGGGGCAGGATCGTTACCTTATGTGATGGGCTTATGGAACTTTTTTTTTTTTTTGTCTCCTCTCCTTAGTCAACAGTATCAGATTTAAAAGGATTTGTTTTAAAACCTTCTAATTTGGTAATCAGATTTAAATCGCCTTGGCGCGTGTAATCTGAATTAAAGATACTGTAAATGATTTTAAGCTTTCGTTAGCGGAGGGGAAGCACCAAGTTCGGCGTTGTTCATTTGAGGAAATATCTCGCAGTACCAGCGGCGTTGGGCATTTTTTGCCTTATTTTTAGGAGGGAGGATTTTGCGGGCTGGGGGCACCCGCAGCCCCCGCGCCCGCTCCAGGTCCCCAAACGTGTCCGTGCCACCAAATGCCACCGCGAGCATGGCATTGTTTGGGAACTTTGGGATCTCTCTCCGCGCGATAAAAGTGTTTGGGTTTGTAATCTGCTCTACTGTACCTCAAAAGCTCCGGGCTGATTATGAATACAGGAATTTTCTTTTCATTTCTCATGAATAGTTTCCATACACTTTGATTTAAGGTTATTAACATTCTATAGACAGTGGCATCTTTAATATGTGGCGATCGCTTCTAAAGACTAATCTCATTACCCTCAAATAGTCATAAAATATGATTTTATTATACTTACGTATTTAATTAGACGGCCAGCAATGTAATGGATTTTGAGATCGGGTAGAGCAACAGCTTTGATAATTCACTTATCTTTGGCAATAGTCATTAACCCCCAACACCAGCAAAATAGATTGCTTTCTAACACATCGTTTTTTCTTTTTTTTTTTTTTTCCCTCTTTTCCCTCACCCCTTGGAGAAAGGGGATCCTGATAACGTAAATCGGACTTTCGCTTTTCACCGATTCATTCAGATAGGAACGCAGATTTTCCCCGAGTTCGGGAAATATTAACGCGGGGACGTGGGAAATACACAAAAAATAAACACCAAAAAATCCAAAAAGAGATTATATTTAAAAAAAATAGTACTAGGAAGTCGTAGCCCACACTGGGCGGAAAAGGCTCATCACTTGAGGGGAAGATATAGAGATATAACGTGTGAATGTATAAAAATATGTATCAATATGTATAACATATCAATACGTATAGAATATATCAATAGGTATAAAATATATCAATAGGTATAAAATATATCAATAGGTGTAAAATATATCAATAGGTATAAAATATATCAATATGTATAAAATATATCAATATGTATAAAAATAGCCTATATCAATATGTATAAAATAGCCTATATAAATATGTATAAAATAGCCGTATAGATAAGAATATAAGGATGTTTTAAAATCAATACATTAAAAAAATCAATATATACCAATAGAGAAATCCGTATCAATATATAAAAAACCACATATACATATAGGAAAAGCGATGTTTGTGTGGAGCTACACGAGCCCGGCGGCGGAGCACCGGGGCCGGGTGCACGCACGGATGTCCAGCCCCGGTACCGCGGCCGGGCCCTTTGTCCGGCGGTCCTGTCAGGCCGGTGTGGCTGTCGCTGTGTGTGTCGCGATGTCGCGATGTGGGTGCTGTGCCGGGGGTCCGGGTGGGCGGAGCGCGGCCCGTATTTGGGCAGGTCCCGCCCCGTGTGACGGAGCGCTGACGCGGCGGTCCCGCGGCGGCGGGTCCGCTCCCGGGGCAGGGCCGCGCTCCTCGGGGAGGGAGGGCCGGGCTCGCCGCGCCTCCGTCCATTCCGCGAGCCGCCACGGGCCCGCGCCCCGTTCTCCCGTGTGCCCGGCAACACCTCCGCGGTAATCAGCGATTTTTTTTTTTTTTTTTTTTTTTCCTCCTCTCCCCTCTTTCCTTCTCCCCCCCGTTTATTTGTCTTTTGGAGCAGGAGAGCCTTGCCAGAAAGTGGTCGATTCAGCAGTGTCCTGAAGGTTTTTTTTTTTTGCCGAGCCGGTTTTTACTAGGATGACACCACGTTGAGCGCGTCTGCAAACAACAACAACAAAAATATTTATTCTTTTTTCCCCCCCTCCCCCCTTAAAAAAAAAAAAAAACCACCTCGCACTGTCGCCGGCTGCAGTTATACTTTTTCCTTCTTTTTTTTTTTTTTTTCTTTTTTTTTTTTTTTTTTTAAACCACCAAACTGGAACGCCATCCAACTCGCCGCACAGAAGTACTCAGTAAATTGTTTATGTCGTGCCAATACAGGACAGATTGAAGAAGGAAGCAAGACTTGAACTGGGCTTTTCTCCTACTGATCACAGGGAGTAAAGTCATCTCTTATATTCCAGTCGCCAAGGAGAGAGAGAGAGAGAGAGAGAGAAAATCAAGCAACAACCAACCCACCCCGTATCTGACATTTCCCTCAATTTTAACCCCTTTTGGTTAGGAGCTGGTTTTGCCCAAATTTGTTTTAATGTTTGGGATTCAGGAAAATATACCAAGAGGTGGGACGACCATGAAAGAAGAACCGCTGGGCAGTGGGATGAACCCCGTCCGCTCATGGATGCATACTGCTGGGGTAGTGGATGCTAACACGGCCGCCCAAAGGTACGTCTGCCAAATCCTCTCCCGGCGGTTTTCTCCGTCTGTATTTCTCATCCCGGCCGTAAATCCCCCCCCTTAACTCCCCCACCCCCCCGCCCGCCCCGTATCGCTTACAGCCTCCCCGCTCCGCGCCGCTCCGCGCTCCGCGCATCCCCCCGCATCCCCCCGGTCCCCCCGCGGCCGCGGAGCCTCCGCGCCCCTTCCCGCCGCTCTCACCCACGCCTTGTCTTGTTTTCTCCCGCAGCGGCGTGGGGCTGGCTCGGGCACATTTCGAGAAACAGCCGCCTTCCAATCTCAGAAAATCCAATTTTTTCCACTTCGTCTTAGCTCTGTACGACAGGCAGGGACAGCCGGTGGAGATTGAGAGAACGGCTTTTGTGGACTTTGTGGAGAAAGAGAAAGTAAGTCTGGCAGTTTTCTCAATTTTTTTTTTATTTTTTTTTTAATTTTTGAAGCGTAATTGAGCGGAGCAGAGCTGGTTCCCAGCACGGCGCCCACGCCACGTGCGGCTCCCCCCGGTCTCACGGCTCCGAATAAACCCCGCGGTTAGAAACTTAACGCCGCGGCCCCGACTTATTTTAAACAGCGGGAAAACGGCAAAACATGACATATTTGCACCGAGCTAATGACATCATCAGCGCTCCACACCAAGGAAAAAAAAAAAAAGGGAAAAAAAAAAAGAGGTGACCGTGGGCTGAATTTCTGCAAACTGTTAATTCCCAGCCGCTTCAGGGACGAGAAAAATGGGCAGCAGGAGGAGGGAGATATTTTTCATGCTAAATGTAATTATTTATCGTTACTTGCAGGAGCCAAACAATGAAAAAACTAACAATGGGATTCATTATAAACTTCAGTTATTGTATAGCAATGGTAAGTTGTCGTTCTCTCATTTTTGAGCGTCTGTGTGCCGCAGAAAAGTCTGATTTTCCTTCCGAGGCCTTTTTTTGGGGGGGAGCAGGGGGATAAAGGGTATAAAGATTTCGAGATTAAAATTACACGCGTGTAAACACGGCTCTTTCCTTGGCATATAAGGAAAACAAAACATAAAGGATCGATAAGTCAATGGTACTTCACATGATTAACCGGTTGGGCTTGAAGTGGAAAGTAAAAAAGGGGATCGATGGCTGCTCGGGCACAGCGGCACTTTTAAGGGAGTTGTTTGGTTTTTTTTTTACTTTGGGAATGGATGGTGATTATTGGGATGGGGTGAGCGGGCGGAGAGGAGCCCCGGCCCGGCGGAGCCGCTTCCTCGGCCGCGGAAAATCCGCGGGGTCCCGCAGCGATCCGGCCCGGGGGGGCTGCTGGGCACAACTCCATCACCGCCCCATTCCTGCCTGCTTTTCATCATTATTCATTTTTATTCTTTTTAAATTTGGATTTTTATTTTTTTTTTCCCCCCCTGAAGCCGGCGCGGAGCCGATCCCTGCCCGCTGCGGTTAATTGCCTGACCTCATCCTTTCCTTGTGGGATTGGGGGGGTTCAGCTCCCGAAATCCTGATCGCAATTTTGTCTGTGCCTTCCCTCCGCAGGAGTTAGGACAGAGCAGGACCTGTACGTTCGGCTAATAGACTCCATGACCAAACAGGTGAGAAAGTTTCCGCTTTTCTTCCCCGCGAGTTCCCAAGTTTGGATTCTGCCCTTGCCTGGAAGGGTGGGGGGCACCGAGCGCGCCGAGTTCTCATTTACCGGAGCGGGGAAATCGGGGGGCTGCCACCGAGCCCCGATTAGCGGAGCATATTTGGGCAGGAGAAAACGGTGTGTTGTTGCTTGCCGAGGCAGCGTTGAGATCATTCAGTGGCGTGTGTGGCATGGAGGACAACGTCATGGGAACAGATGTTTGATATAATTAATTTAGCGAGGGAGAAAGGAAAGGGAAAAAAAAATCCCACCGAGTTACCCAGATTTATTTTAAAATGCACTTTTCCCCCTCTGTAAGTTTTTTTTTTTTGGTTTTTTTTTTTTTTTTGGCGATATTTTTCCTCGGTGAGGAAAGGGCAGCCCCTTCCCCACACTCCAAAACTGGCCGGGATTAGTCTTTTTTCTTTTATAACGCGACCATCCAGTAACGCGAGACGTTTATTTGGATTTAAAAGTTAAATGTGCTGAGGTGAAAAGTCATCTTGTTCTCCTCTAGTCCATATTCACCTCTCAGCCCCCCATCTCCATAATTCAAACTCCATGCTCCAGGGGTCACCCAAACCCGTCCATTTCCCTGAGATCAGCTTCTGTTTCTTCCTCAAACCTCTGTCATACCTTGTAAATAACATAATTACAAGCAGTTCCTTATTAAATTATTTAACCTGTCTTGGTCAACTTTTCCGATGATAACTACGTGTTATCAGCATTGCACCGTAGCAATTACAAGGCACAAAGCTTGGGATTTAATAAACTTTATTTCTTTTTTCATTATTTTTAATTTTTTTTTTTTCGGAGAGACATTTCACGACTTTTTTTATTATTATTATTTTAAAAATTACTATTTCTTAAAAATCTTTTGTGGGAATAGGGAGGAAGGTGAGAACGGGGAATAATTTCCAGTGTTCTGGAAATCAGATCCCAGCGATGGAAATTAAAACCATTCCCCCAATCTGCCGGGCTGTAACACCGCCGCCTGTTCTGCACTGCCGGCCTGCTCATATATATTATTTTTGGGAACTTTGCAGCCCCCGAGGCACGGGCAGGGGAGTCCCCCGGGTCAGGGTGGGCCCCGCGCAATCTGCGCGCACGGCCGCGCTGCCACCCGCAGAAACTTTCTCCTGCTGTAAAAACCTCCGGCAGCAAAGGAGGGGATTTCCTCCCGCAGAAAAGCAGAGCTGACAGGCCGAGCACAATTACTCTGACAAAGACGGAGGCGTCGTACCCTTCAATAATTATTTCGCTGGGATACAGAGCAGCCTTTTAAACTCCGGAGCGCTCTCGAGTTGACAATGTGGGTTTATTTCCTTTGTATACAGCAGCTAAATGTTTTCGGAAATCGCTGTAGTGGTGTAATTAAGAGGCTGACATAGGCAGCTATAAGTTTCGTTAGCGCCGAATAAAGGAGCGGAGTGGACGCATTTCAAGTGCACTTTTATTGTCCATTTCGGCTCGTACCTATGCAGCAGAAAAAGGGCTGAAAATAAAGGCTTTTAATCTCCCCTCGCTGACGGGAGAGGAAAAAAATAGCCCAGTAACTGATCAAAGAGTCAATGGCGCTGAACCGACAGTTTATGGATTTCTGTTTGTGCTACAAAATAAAAAATAAATCACTTCTAAATACGTGGTTTCATCAGAGGAAAAGTAACAATCACCAGAAGTTATATGGCACGCTGCGACAACAAACACTCGCGGCCACGGCCGCCTTGTTATGTCTGCGCTGTCATCTATGACCCCTCTGTTTGCAAAACAATACCTGGAGCTGGGCAGCCCCGGGCCCTCCGCGGGGCTGTGCGGGGCTGTGCGGGGCTGTGCGGGGCTGTGCGGGGCTGCGGAGCGCAGAGAGCCCCGGGGGCGCGGGGCGGACCCCGGCCCGCATTTCACCGGCCGGGGCTGCGCGGGGCCGGGGCACGGCAGGGCAGGCAGGGAGGAGGAGAGGCAGGGAAGGAAGCAGGGATGGAAGCAGGGAAGGAAGCAGGGAAGGAAGCAGGGAGAGAAGCAGGAGGAGAGGCAGGGAAGAAGGCAGGGAAGCAGGCAGGGAAGCAAGGAAACAAGCAGGGAAGCAGGGAAGCAGGGAATCAGGCAGGGAATCAGGCAGGGAAGAAGGCAGGGAAGCAGGGAAGCAGGGAAACAGGGAATCAGGCAGGGATGCTGCTCGCAGCCCGGCGCTCCCCCAGCCCGCCGGGCGCCGGGAGCGGAGGGCCGATCCCGCACCTCGAGCTCCGCACCATCTGTTAGAGCCCATGCTCAAAGCCCACTCAGC